AAAACTTGCACTAAATAACAGGCAATGGGTAAATATCCCTAATAAATACAGTGTTCTTACAAACAAATTAAACATATAAGCCAAAAGAAAAATGGGCAAAGGATATTCAAGAGCAAGTCTCAGGAAAAATACAATTAGCTAACACACATGAAAAGATATTCAGCCTCACCAGTGATCAGAGAAATGCAAGTTAAATCAGTTAGATACTATTTTTCACCTATCAGATTGGCAAAAATTAAAAAGAATGTCTATCCTCAGCAAGGGAATAAGAAAAGGCATTCTCAATAGTGACAGTATAAACCTTCTTAGATGTTACTTCGGTGGTGCCTACTCACATTTTTAAAATACATATCCTTTAACATAGCAAATCTCCTTATAGAAAGCTATCCCACGTAAATATTTGTATGTGTGCATCTTATATCTATATCCATCCTTGAGCATTGTGCAAAGATATTTATTTCAGCCTTGTGGTAGCTCAGACTAGAGTGACAGGCAAGTGAGATGGATACATGTGGCAGAATATGACACACTCCGCCGTTCAGGTCAACAGGACTTGCTGACGAATTGGATGTTGCGAGGTTGAGAGAAAGACAGGAATCAAGGGTGCCCCTAGATTCTTGGTTTGAGCAACTGAATGGGTGCTGGTGCCATTTTACTGAGATAGGGGAAGCTGAGGGAAGGGGCCGGGGATGTGAGAGGCATCGGGAGTCCTGTTTCGGCCATGTCCCATCTGAGACGTCTATTTAACATCCAAGTAGAGATGTTGAATAGGCCATTGGATATATGAGGCTGGAGCTTAGAAGAAAGGCTGTGTTGGAGACAAACTTTTGAGTGATGAGTGTATAGATACATGGTATTTAAAGCCATAGAGCTAGATGAGTGCTTCTAGGAAGGTTTTGGATGACGAAAAGTCCAGGGACTGAGCCTGGTTTCACTCCAATGTTCAGAGGCTGATGGAGATAAATCTAGTAGAACAGGGGGGCTGAGCAGAAGTTCTCTGTACAAACTTGAGTTTCAAAGAACTGGTGAGTTTCAAATGGTGAAGAGTCACATATTTACCACCATATCAAGGGCCCAATTCCTTCCAAGCCTGTCTATTAAGGGATTCTAGCCCCTTTCTTTCTAAATATTTCAAAGCACATTTAAACAGAACAGTACTTTTTCTTTTCTTTTATGTTATCTGTGGTGTCCTCTCAGTATGATTCTCCTAACATAAAACTGGTCAAGTGCTGCCCTGGCCAGTGTGGCCCAATTGGTTGGAGCATCGTCCCATGCACTAGAAGGTCTCGGGTTTGATTCCCGGTCAGGGCACAGACCCAGGTTGCAGGCTGGATCCCCGCTTGGAGCATGTATGGGAGGCAACTGATCTCTCTCTCTCTCTCTCTCTCTCTCCCCCCTCCTTCTCCTCCTCCCTCCCTCTATCCCTCCCTCCCCCTTCCAATTACTATACAAGTAGCACTCAGCAATGGCTTTTCCATTAAGTTCATAATCCAACAACTACCTAAGGCCTAAAAGGCTAAAGGTGACTTGGGTGAGATCAGAAGCTTAATTTGTGGCATCTTTTATTCTTTTGGGCTATTCACTTCCCTATGGCACAGTAACATTCTCCAGCTTCTTACTGAGCTCACCAAATGCCTGAAACACCTCAAGACATCTGACAATCCACACCCTTCCTACCCACCAGAAACTTAGTATCTTTACATTTCCACTTTAAACTTCAGAAGTTTCCACTCAGAGACTCACGCCTTCAAAAGAGAGAAAGGAAGTACTTCCAACTAGGTCAGAGTTGTAATCAGGAATGCAATTTCAAAACAAAACTCTGCAGAAGGAAAACATCGAGAACCAGGCCCAGGGCAACCTCACAGCTGCCGGGTAACAGGCAGGGCTCACTCAGTTTCAGTTCCAGGAGCCCAGGAAAAAGTGCCAATTCCTAGAACAGTAATGTCATTCATTAATTCATTTAACAAATATTAATAAGTACCTCTGCACCAGGCCGCCTTATGGATGCTGGGGTTCGCTGGTGCATAAAATGGAAAACCCTACCCACATGGAGCTTACATTGTGGAGAGGGGAGAGGGCCAGACAAGAGAGAAGAATGGATAAAATACACACTGTGATACACTAGAGTAATAAAGTAAGGAAGGAGCACACAATGTTCAGGGAAGGGTTGCAAGTTTCAACAGGATGGTTAGGGAAGGCCTCACTAAGGTGACATTTAAGTACAAGCTCCTAGCTGTCTGGTTTCAAGTGCCTCAGAAAGGTGTCATTTGTACTTTAATGCCACCATCATCAGACCTCAGGCCCTTGAAGGCACGGTATCCCCAGTTCCTAGCACAAATATTTGTTAATTTCTCATGCTTAAGGCAAAGGGAGCTCCAACATCCAGACCTTGCCCTTAAAGAGGTTACAACCTTCCAGGTGAAAAAGCAACTAAGAGAGGGCTTAAGGACTTGCCTGAAGTGTAAGCAAAGTGGTTTAGGATACAGACTAACTGGTAATGCTGCTTAGGGGAAGGGACTATGTTGTTCAGAAAAGGTTTTCCAAAGGAGGTGACTTCAGAGCTAAATCTTTTTTTTTTTTTTTAGAAAAATATATCTTTATTGATTTCAGGGAGAGGAAAGGAGAGGGAGAGAGAGAGATAGAAACATCAATGATGAGAGAGTCATTGATCGAGCCCGCAACCCGGGCATGTGCCCTGACCGGGAATCGAACCCCTATTGCCTGGATACCAAGTCGACGCTCAACCGCTGAGCCACGCCCGGCTGGGCTAGAGCTAAATCTTGAGAGATCAGTAGGAATTAATGGCAGGGGAGTGGAATGGGTGGCAAGTTATCTTTTCAGGGGGAAAAAAGAGAGAGAGAAGTTTGAGCAAAGGCCCAGAGATGAGATCAGGAAGGACATTTTTCTCTTGGACTGTTCCTGCCTAAGGTACTCCATCCATCCCACCATAAAACAAGCAAATACTCCCCCTCAGGCTCTCTGGCCTGGCTGCTGGGGAATCCTTTTCACACATACCACACCCTCATTTCTCCCCTAGCCAGCAGGAAAGGAAGAAGTTGAGTCAGGTACATATCCCTAGAACCCAGAGTTACCCATCCCTAATTTAGGACAATTACTGTTGAGCCAAGAGCCCCAGAGGTTTCATTCAGCTGAGTACACTCAGGGGTCTGGACTTACAGTGGCCATGTGGCGATTGGACCCCTATTGGAAGTGAAATGGTGGAGTGGGTAAGATACCCGTGAGGTAAGTGGTCCAAAGCCTCCACAGTGCATCCAGGGTGGAGTCAAGGACCATAACTTATGTATGCTTCAGCTTGGAAGGGGAATTTTTATAATCACTTAGTCCTCACTTGTGAGCTATTTAGTGTTCCTAATATGTAAAACAGCAGAGGTGGTGTGACAGGGGATTGGAACACAGCTGTGTAGTCAGATGACCCAGCTCTGCCCCTCATCTGTTGGGTGATTTGGGGCAAAGCAGTTAACCTTTGAGTTTCCTTTTCATCACAGCACAGTTATAATTGTAGTGCCTACTGCATAGAGTTATGAGGATTATATGAGATAATTACGTCAAGAATTTATCACAGCACCTAATTCAATAGATTCTAACAACCATTATTCGTAGCAGTGTTTTAAGCTCAGAGAGTATTATCCAGAATGCTACTTACACTCACAGACCAATTATCCCTCAACAGGCTCTGACTTCGAGTCTCCTGAAGCTGTGTTACCAGAAATGGTCTTCCCCTGCCAGGAAAAGTCTCACTAGTCAAGTTGGTGGTCTTTTTCTACTAGAATTTCCAGCAGGTGCTTTTAAAAAGTCAACTACAACTACAACAAAAAACTTCCTCAGGGCCTCAGCTCTTTGCATCAGACACTGGTCTCTCCACAAACCAAGTGGGTAAACACATTAGGTCATTGATCCCTTAATATTAATGGATTTATGAGGGGTGGAGGTGGGACCCTGAAAGAGCAGAAAAGAAGCCAGTTAAAAATAGGAGGTCTGGGATGTACTGAAGACTAATTTCTGACACAAATGTTCAAGGTCTAGGGCCACCCCTGCCAAAGGCTGTCTTCTGGAATGCTAGGTCCTCTGGTTCTGAAGAAGCTGAGTACTGGGGGGAAGAAAAGTTTAGTTAATGACAAACGGATCACTTGTTAAAGCCACCAGAATTCTAACCAAATGATTTCACCACCAAAAACCAACCGTTTCGTTCTACATTAAGAGCAGGAGGCGGTCATGTACCCCTTTACAAACCATCACAGAAGACAGAAGTGTTCTGTGCCCTTTCTGAGGGCTCTGGGGACCGTCCTCCAGGAGCAAATCCACAAAACTTGCTTGAAGGCTGGCAAGAAAAAGCAGTTCAGCCCCAGAGCACACTGCCCGGCGCCCAGCCCCAAGCGCGGAGCGAGCCCCCGA